CGTTTTTTTGCCTAAACTATTAAAAGCATTTTCAGAAATATTATATGAGTTTATACTCTTTGCAATTGTTTTGATAGCCTGAAAGCCTAATCCAATTTCAGGGAACGCAACATATGAACTTACATTCACTTCATATAGCATTTTCTTCAAAATAGTCATATCAATTAAAAAGAAGTAGCTCTGGTGGATGACTTTCAAAATCTTTGAACTTCTTTTTGTCGAAATTTTATTTTTTTCGAAAATAGATGTTTATTGGAGGGTTCTTTGTTTATGTGGTTGTTGAAGATGTGTAAAGTGAAAGTTTGTTTGATAATCATTTTTACAACGATTATGAAAGCGATTATTAGTTTGTTTATTAAAAAAACAAAATTTTGCTTGTTACTTTTAGACATTTTACTTTTAAAATAGTACAAACAGTAACTATTACAACTTGCATTATTCTAAAATGTGATAATACTTGATTATATATTAAGAATGCAAATGGTCATTCAACTTTTGACCAAATAATAAGCAAGATAGACTTTAATACTTAAAATGTTTTTTAGTATTTACAATATATAGAATTTTAAAGTTAAATATTGTAAATATTTTTGCTTATATAACAGTTGCTAAGGGGTAGTTATGGATATTACATACTACTTGCTTTATATAAACCCAAATTATTATAACTTAATGTTAAAATTTTGCATTAATGTTTTTATATTCTGTAATCAACAGAATAATGAGTTCTTTACAAATTTGCATATAAATAAAACAGATTTTCCTTTTTATCTTCTTATATAAAAAAAATGATGATATTTATTTTGAATGACAATAATTTTTTTTCTTTAATTTTTATTTCTTTACCTTTTACATATTTTAAAAGATTGTTTGTAGTCCACACTTAGAAAATTAGTGTTTTCTTTTTAAGCAATTTAATTGTTAGTCTTGCAAAACATATATTTTATTTATAGCTTTTTCAGAAAAGGACATTTACCATAGATTTCATTTCTGTAACTTATTTTTTACTAAAATGATTGTAAACTGAATAAATTATAAGGTTACAACGCAAGAGAATGGTGTGAGATTTGAAACCATGTAGCAATTCTTTTATTGCTTGAACGTGTTTAGTTTTTTAGGAAAAAAAGACGTCGGGCAATAGTTGTTTACACCATTTTTTTCTCCCTCCTTTGAATCTCGTCGTTATTTTGGTATTTTCAAGTTTATCTGAGAGGATTCCCTGTCTAACAGAAGACAAAAAAGTTTTTAAAAGAATTTTTTTACAAAACCGTAATCGTATAAAGTTTCATCATTAACTTAGACAAAGCGCCTGATTTTTTTTTAGTTTACTATGATTTCTAACACAATTTGCCAAGTACGTTTGAAATTGTTTTTTTTTCAATTAGTAGAGTAAAAGCGGGTCAAATAAGTTTTTATTTATTACGGTTTAAGTTGTAGAGACTTTTGAATTGTATTTAAATCAAATATATTTTCAAAAAAGTTTTTTAAGAAACTTCATTTATTTGGAAAAAATATATATTTTTTAATTTTTTTTTTTATTTAGGCGCCCCAATAAATCTTTCGGTTATATCACAGAAAAGCATTTGAAGGATGCTTCTTTCTTTATCGGTGCTATAAAACTTACCCAGAGGTGGCGTTAAACAACGGATCTCTTTTTCTGAGGCTAGCGTGCTAACCACTGCACTTCGGCTCCTTCTTTTTCATTCTATTCTAAGACTGCATATTTCAATCAACACTTCTATTTGGGATGAATGAAATGTACAAATAAATGTGCAAATAGAAATGTGCAAATAGATCTTAAAAATACCTAATTTAAAAAATGCAACCATTAATGTTAACCAATAATACAATTTAAAAAAATTATTAAGAAAATAATTTTATTTATGTGATGATGTTAAATTTTTAGGAGGTTTTGTAGGTTGAGTTAAGTTGTCACCTGCGCGGCACTTTTTAATGCAATAAAACTCAGTGTTTTTATACATTACTTTGGAATGGATGTATGACAAAGCCAAACCTTGTATTTGGAGTTTTTGCCCTGATACCATTCACTTGCTTAAACTTTTCTAAAAACATTAGGACACTTTTTATACTTAATTTAGTTTGCTACTGCTGTTGTTGTTGGATTTGGTGTTGTTGAATGATTTATCTGCTGCTCATAATCAAGGTCATATTCACATCAAGATTACGTTGTTTCCTAGCCTGATTTGCTATATTTTGTTGTCATCCAATTTCCATCTTGTTGAGCAAAAACAAACCAGTCTTTTGAAACCTATAGTGACTATTTGCGTTCATGTAAAAACTTCAACAGAGGTTAAAAATGCTAAAACTTGAACAGAATGTTTTTCTTACAACTTACTAAAACATACTTTAGACAAACTGCTGAACTTGGTCTCGGCACAAAACTTTTAAATTAATATGCGTCAAAATTCGACTTTTTTTTCTAGCTAGCTTTTCTGCTTTCTTTTTTTGGTATTTTTTAAAACTGTAGTTAACCAACGACTTCCTATCAATACATTCAATATAAGGCTTTAGAAAAAAAGCCAAATAAAAAGTACACCAAGGTTTTGCTCTTGGTTTCCTTTTGTTTGAAATTTAAAAAAACGAACATCCAAAACGAACACCATTATTCTATAAAACTTGCAAATGATACAAACTTATTTAAATCCTTGACAGCAATCAAATATCTTTACAAAACAAAATAAAATAAACTAAGCAAATTATTTTTTTTAATTTACAAAAAAAATAAAACAAACTATTTCACTCTAATCAGAAACTGCAATAAATTACCCGAAATTCTACCAACAGTAAAGGGGCTGTCTATTAATAACGTCAACAAATTTTTTGAAATTTTTACCTCCCCCTCTTTCTCGTCAAATTTGTCAAATTTTCAGAGAACACCCCTATAAAATTACGTCAACTTTTGATTACCCACCTCCCTATACAAAAAAACTACGCTACAAACTCAGCCTAATTTTCCGTTATTAAAGCAATGAAACTCAAAAAAAATTTTGACGTCAACTTTAATTGACCTCCCCCTCCCCTATTTCAACCATTGTCAAAAAAGTTCAGACCCCCCCTTCCTTTTTGTTGACATAATTAATGGACAACTGATTACCAAATATTTGTAAGTTTAATATAAAATATACTTTTCACGACTAAGTTCAAATAAAAGCTGGTGCCACATCATTTTATAACTCTGTGTTGTGATATTATAACTCTATGTTGTGATATTATATAGCGTTTAATTGTTTTTTTTGGTAGCATTATTAGGTTTCCAAGAAAATCGGAAATAATAGTTGTATCTTAAAGACAGAAACGTAGCGAGGGGCCCGCAGCCGTGAGAGGGCCCTGACTTATTAGGGACAGAAGCCAAATTTTTTAAATACATTAAATAACATTTTTATTGCTATTGTGTATCTAAGAATTACAAATTCTTTGCTATACAATATGTAACATACTTATTTCAATTAACTTGTATTTAAAAATAAGGCCCTTTGTTTTCATGTATAAATTCTTTTTGTTTTGAGGTGGAGGAGAGAGAGAAATTATTTAGGATTAAAAATTCAAGGGAAGGCCTATTTTTTGTCGCTACGTCAGTGCTTAAAGGCAAACGAAGATTACTAATCGAGTACATTGCCGTTCATACGTTTAGGAAGATCTTGATTGTTGTGATAACTGTTAGTTTTATTTGAGTTAAAAATTACGAGTCACGGAGAGCCTGATGGAACTTCCTTATACAAATAAATTGGTGCAGGTTAAACATTGTTTAAAAAACGCACTAGTAGAAATAGGACGTGATTATTTATACAAAGAAAGACTTTTAAAAGTTCCCATTTAAGTAATAAAAAATGACAGTACTCTGGCAGTAAAATTGATGCGGTTTTGCTCTTTTCTTATACTGCCAATTTTGCTGGCTTTAATATTGGAATTACTTTTAGCAATATAAGTAATTCTAAAGCCAGCGGAACTATCAGTAAAAAAAGTTTGAATATCCGCATTTAAGTAAAATTTAATTTTTTTTTAAATAATTAATATATAAAAAATTTTAATCGAAATAAAACTTTATGTCTGATTTACTATTAAACAAAAGTTATGTGAAAATTTAACTTTCGAACAAAATAACTCCAAAAAAAAATTCTACAAAGTTTCGAATTTTTTTGTTTCGTTGTCAACGAAGGTCTTAAAAAAACGGCGAATACTTTTAACTTCAAAAATAATTGAGATTAGCATAAATGTGATTATGTGCAGAATAATTTTATTTTTTTAATATCAATTAAATTTATTCAACTTTCAATAAACCTGAACTTTATTGTAAACATCATGTAATAACGAAGGTTGAATATAATAAAGAAATGTTTTAGTAAAAAAAGAAAAAATATAGCCTAAAAATATTTATTATAAATTTAATAAGAAAAAGTTTATTACCGTAAAAGTATATTTAATCTAATTTTAGTAATTTTATATAATTAATACTTTTTGATATTAATTATATTTTAATATTTATATTTACAAAAGAAAAAATATAATATTATTATCAAAATGATCAAAATTCATAATATAATTATGAAAATATATAAAAACAAAGTATATAAAAAATTATTATATATTTAAACAAAGAATAATATCAATTATTATTATTATTTATACTTTAATGTTATTATTACTATTATTATTATTATTAAAAATGTTAAAAAAATAATAATTATGAAAAACTATGTAGCACAAGTATAATTATATATTTAATAGTTTATGTAATTACTACTTTAATTAATTTATTTTAAAAAGAATTAATTATAAATATGAATGATATTCTAATATAATAATGAACTTTTTCATTAAAATCAAAAATATTTAAATTAATTCGTATATTTAAAGGATATATATTTATAAAAATAAAAATAACTTAATTTTTTATTATTTTTATTATTTATTAAAAATAAATTAAATATTTTATTTATTATTTTTTAATTATTGTTTTTATTTTATATATTTAAAATATTAAACATTTTCCCACGTTATTCATCGAGGTTATGAAAATATTTTCCGCGTAATTCATCGAGGTTATGAAAATATTTTCTACGGTACGTGATCATAAACTTCTTGATGTTCGAACAACAAATCCATTCACAAATGTCTTCAAAGAAATCAATGTCGTCGTGAAGACGAAGATTTAATTCTTCACAAAGATTAATCGAAGGAAGAAAATTTTCTTCAAAATATTTTTTTGTTATTAAATAATCAGAGATCCATATCGTCAACTCTTCAATCTTATCCTTCGGTTTCCATCCTTCGAAATTAATTGGACGATAAAAGCTGACAACGCGAACATTAGTTAAACATCGAATTAAAAGATTTTTTTCTTCATCACTTAAAATTTTTTTATGAACACTTAACAACTTTAACTTTCTTCCAGATTTTATGTAATAATTTACGAAATAATTATCGCAAGAAGTTGCGTAAGAAGTTTTTCCATCGTCAATCGAAATCCTCCAACCACCAAAACAAAACCTTTGTTTATTTTGTTCATCAACAATTGATTTTATTTCATCAGTGAATGACGATTGACTTTCGTAAAAACATTCGTAGAAAAAATTGAAATCATCATTAAAATGACCTTCAATTCTTTTAGATAGACAATCTAAAGAAAAATTAAATGTGAAATATAACAATAAACAAATAAATAATAAACAAAAAATAAAATAATAATCAAAATTGTGATATTATACATATAATATTATTATTTTTCTATATACAAATATAATTAATACACTATAATTAAATAAAAAATTGAATACATTTTCATATTATTAATAAATATATTACATTTATGTTATAATATAATAAACATAATCACATTAATAATAAATGAAATTATATATATAACTTAATAAAACTTTTAAACAAAATAACTTTTTAATAAAAATTATAAAAAATATACTAATTTTATTATTTTGAACATAATTTTTATATTAATAAATTTTATTGTATATGATGTGTTTATAATTTTTAATAACCAATAATACACATATATAAAATAAATTTTTTACTAAAAATAACATAAAACAGATTAAAAATATGTTTAACTTAGAAAAAATGCTTTATTTATTCATATTGTCATTCGAAATAAATATCATCATTTTTTTTATATAAGAAGATAAAAAGGAAAACCTCTTTTATTTATATGCAAATTTGTAAAGAACTCAATGTATTTATAAACCGAATTCCTACAGAACTTGTTCAAATTTAAAAATTACATCAAAAATCTCCTTCGAAAATCTTTTTTAAAATAAGTTATTTAAATAAATATGAAAAAACGTCAAAGAGTGAGGGTTCAAATATTTGGTGATTCGATTTCGACGTCGATTTGAAACTTTGAAGAAAATCAATCAAAATTTGCAACTTTTATACAACTTATAAATTAAATTTTGATGCAATTAGCGCTTTTTGAATAAGGCTACAAAATATATATTATTAAAACATAAAAAAAAGCAACTAACGCAGCTAAGAAGAACCAATAATCTATTCAATCAAATTTAAATTTTTATATAAATTATATCGAATGCATGTTTTTTGGATAGACAAATAAAATTTTGTTTTAAAATTTTGTAATTCATGTAACAGTCATTTTAAAGATAAGTTTTACTTTCAGTATCATTTTATAAAATTAATATTTCTCTTTACGAGTGACCAAATGAACACAAGTTCTAATGAGAAAATTTAACTTACGGTGAGAACATAAAAAAAGCTATTAATGGCAATAGTGTCACAGGAGTATTAAAACTTGGACGAACTGTCGATTTACAAATTATTGAACTATATTGTGGGAGTATTTTACATGTTTATTAAATCGAATGAAACGAATAAAATTAAATTCGCTTGAAATTACAGTCTTAGAATAGAATCAGCTTATATCTTGAAATCAAATTATTATCAAAAATATTAAATTTAAATATTATCTTTTCTTGCATTTTTTTTGTTTAATAAAATTCACTGAATATATCAACAAAATAAACAAAAATGAAAAAAAAAATTGTTTTCATAATTATATTCAAGAGGTCATTGTCGTCGTAAAGGTCATTGTCGTCGCCTTAAAACAATTTGACTTTAGTTCCAAAACATAAACTTTTTAAATGAAAAGAAAAAATTGATTATAAAACTGAAGTATACTTACAAAATTTAAAAAGTTTTGTTACCAGTGTGAATTTTAATAAACAATGATAACAAAATGATACCGTAGCATTTTAAGAAAATAAATTGAAAAGTGAGTTTTATAAATTTAAAACTCGATCATCGAACTTCAAAAAACTTTTAATAAGTTCGAAAAAAACAGTAAATATTGAAAACAAACGTTTCGCTTATAATGTGATTTTGTAACCATCGCAACCGATTTCCAAATGCACGATAGCGGTAGCAGGTTCTTAAAACAAAAAGATTAAAACCGAAAAAACCTTATTATAATTAACATACAACCTACTTTTTAAAATTGTTATATAATTTTTGTTCCTACAGCCCCGGGTCATTGTTACTAAAATGGAAAACACTGAGCCATCAAAAAAAAAAAAAAAAAAAATTTTATTCAACTGTATTTTTTTATCAACTGCTTTTTAAAAGATATGGTCGTTCGACTAAACAAAAAAAAAAAAAATTAAAAAAGCGCCGATTTAAATGTAAATGTTTTTGATAAGATTGAACTCTTAAAAACTTGCTACACTTTTAATTATATTGGCAAATATAAAATTATTTAAATGTTAAAAAAATTTATACACTAAATTGCTGAATAATAATTTTTATTTTATGTAATTAATTATATTTTATATATCAATTACTTTGATATATTATTCACTTTTATTGTAGAATTTTTATTTGTTGTAATAATTCTTAAAATGCCTGCATTCTATTACAAAAAGATAATATATAACTGTTTTCATATGCAGTAAACAACGCTCGTCTAAAGAATTTTTTCATTCATTATGATAATATTTTTTACATTCGTAGAAAAAATTTAAACCATAATTTTCAAAACCAGTAATACTTTTAGATAGACTATCTAAGGAAAAATTAAATGTTAAATATAACAATAAACAAATAAATAATAAACAAAAAATGAAATAATAATCTAAATTGGGAAATTATACATATAATATTATTATTTTTCTATATACAAATATAATTAATACACTATAATTAAATAAAAAATTGAATACATTTTCTTATTATTAATAAATATATTATATTTATATAATAATATAATAAACATAAACACATTAATAATAAATGAAATTATATATAAAACTTAATAAAACTTTTAAACAAAATAACTTCTTAATAAAAATTATAAAAAATATACTAATTTTATTATTTTAAACATAATTTTTATATTATTAAATTTTATTATAAATGTTGTGTTTATAATTTTTAATAACCAATAATATACATATATAATATACTTTTTACTCAAAATAACATAAAACAGATTAAAAATATGTTTAACTTAGAAAAAATGCTTTATTTATTCATATTGTCATTCGAAATAAATATCATCATTTTTTTTATATAAGAAGATAAAAAGGAAAACCTGTTTTATTTATATGCAAATTTGTAAAGAACTCAGTGTATTTATAAACCGAATTTCTACAGAACTTGTTCAAATTTAGAATTTACATTGAAAATCTCCTTCGACAATCTTTTTTAAATTAAGTTAATTAAATAAATATGAAAAAACGCCAAAGAGTGAGGGTTCAAATATTTGGTGATTCGATTTCGACGTCGATTTGAAACTGAAGAAAATCAATGAAAAAATCCATTTTTTATACAACTCATAAATTAAATTTTTTAGCAATTAGCGCTTCTTGAATCTATTCAATCAAATTTAAATTTTTATATAAGTTATATCGAATGAATGTTTTTTGGATAGACAAATAAAATTTTGTTTTAAAAATTGGTAATTCATGTAACAGTCATTTTAAAGTAAAGTTTTACTTTCACTATCATTTAAAAAAATTAATGTTTCTCTTTAGAAGTGACCAAATGAACACAAGTTCTAATGAGAAAATTTAACTTACGATGAGAACATAAAAAAAGCTACTGATGGCAATAGTGTCACAGTTAGTATTTAAACTTGGACGAACTGTCTATTTACAAATTATTGAACTATATTGTGAGAATATTTTATATGTTTATTAAATCGAATGAAACGATTAAAATTAAAGTCGCTTGAAATTACAGTCTTAGAATAGAATCAGCTTATATCTTGAAATCAAATTATTATCAAAAATAATAAATTTAAATATTTATAGCTTCTTTTCTAGCATTTTTTTGCTTAAAAAAAATTCACTTGATATACCAACAAAATGAACAAAAAAGAAAAAAAAAATTGATGTCATTATATTCAATTTTATTCAAGAGGTCGTCGTCTTTAAAACAATTCAACTTTAGTTCCGAAACATTAACTTTTTAAATGAAAAAAAAAAATTAGTATAAAACTGAAGTATACTTACAAAGTTTAAAAAGTTGTGTAACCAGTGTGAATTTTAATTAACAATTATAACAAAATGATACCGTAAAGCATTTTAAGAAAATAAATCAAAAAGTGAGTTTTATAAATTTAAAACTCGATCATCGAATTTCAAAAAATCTTTTAATAAATTCGAAAAAAAAGTAAAAATTGAAAACAAACGCTTCGCTTATAATACGATTTCGTAACCATCGCAACCGATTTCCAAATGCATGATAGTGGTAGCTGGTTCTTAATGCGAAAAGATTAAAACCGAAAAAACCTTCTTTTAATTTTACATACAACCTACTTTATATATATATATATATATATATATATATATATATATATATATATATATATATATATATATATATATATATATATATATATATATATATATATATATATATATATATATATATATATATATATATATATATATATATATATATATATATATATATATATATATATATATATATATATATACAATTATATACAATTTTTCTAAATAACTATAATATTATAATTATCATAACTAAAATTGAAAAGTCATACAAAATTTTATTTTATATCAAACTGTATTTTTTTATTAACTGCTTTTTAAAAGGCATGGTTGTTCGATTAAAAAAAAAAAAAAAAATACTGTAAATATTTTTGATAAGATTAAACTCTCAACATAAAATTGTTACACTTTTAATTATATTGGTAAAATATAAAATTATTTAACTGTTAAAAAATAAAACTATTTAACTGCTAAAAAAAATTATTACACACAAATTGTTACATAATAGTTTTTATTTGTTGTAATGAATTATATTTTATATATTAATTACTTTAATATATTGTTTGCTTTTATTGGAGAATTATTAATTGTTGTAATAATTCTTAAAATGCTTGCATTTTATTACAAAAAGATAATATAAAACTTTTTTCATAAGCAGTAAAACAACGCTTGTCTAAAGAAGTTTTTCATGCTGCAACATGACACTTGTTGATGAAAACGTGCAAACGTTTACGAGACTTACGATTTCCTAAACGGCACTTACGATCTCGTAAACGTGCAAACGTTTGTTAAAAAAGAAACAAAACAGAAAGAAAATCTAACGTCATGTTTCTTTGCAATTTTAAGCAAACCTTAG